GACGTAGGGAAGTGATTTCCTTTTGTCTATTTATCAGTCTGCACCACAAGACAGTTATAACTATTTCCCATTGTTCGTTTCCGGCAATGACGATGCAAAATGCATGCATCTGCCGAGCTTAGTTTTCTCAATGTGCCTTTGAAATGGTTGTGGGGAACAAATTGCTGTAGACTTTGACGTTGTCTGAGGTGTGATGCAAAGCTGTGTCGTAGCATCTACTCTGTTCAGTGTCCTCTTAACTACCCGGATGCCCTGTGCATCCAATCTACGTTATTACGATATCCGTCTGGAGCACGGTATTAATGAGAATTTACTGAACAACCATTGTTTTGGCGCGAGAAGTTTAATATGTGAGACGACCGTTCGGAGGTTGTTTGCCGTTCAGTACGACTTGGTTGCACACAGCGAGTTACGAGGTATCATAGCGGCTGTTGCTTCGACGATGGCCAAGTTCGAGCTCAGCATCCACACGCTGTCATTTCAGTCGTCATGGGGAATGGAGTTCGTGAGGTGCTCACAAATCAAAATTGCTAAAGTAGTGCTGCAAAACACAGCAAAACTTTTTCTATCTCGAGAACACACGGTCATATGATCTGCCGATGACCCGTTAGCTGTGAGTGCGGCTTTGGGCAAATTGGAACATTAGGTGTGGAGGAGCCATCAGCTGATTGTTACGACCAAGCTGATGGTGTGTGAACGAATGGAACCGTCAGTGATTTCATGTGCTATCGCCGTGGGTGAGTATGGGAACAGGTATAGGTCAATGCTGGAGCAGGGGTCCACTCACTACAGCCAAAATCGGGTCTCCAGACTGGCTGACATCCATGATTCACAGTGTAAAAGCAACGGCACGACTGAACGGGAAACAGAAAAGATTCGCTGCAACGTCTGAACAAGGAAAAGTAACACAGTGCGTTCTATCGACGGCATAAACAAAGCAATTTGTGATTGGCGACGTGGTCGCCAGACACGATGACATTCAGCCGGCGGAGCAAGTAGAAAAAGCCATTATACCGTTTACTTTTCAGGGTTGAATGTATTTGTATGAGCGAGGGGGCGCTGCTATGAAAGACACTTCTGGAGCTGGACAACTGCTGAACATACTCGTGGCTCGGGATGTGGATCTTGGGGTGTTCCTCGGGCTGAGCGATGTGTTCGCAGCGCATCGTTACCATTGCCGGAAGGTATACCATCATGATGTCGTTTGGCTTAACGATGAAACAGCTGCAAGCTAAGCGTCCCGCTCGTAGAACGACAAAAAATCATCATCAACGCAAACCAATTACAAATCAGGCACGAAAAAAACCGCATTTCGACAATGCCGAAAAAGCAGGGTGTATATTGTGGGTCGCTAGTAGCAATACTTAGAGATGGGGTTTGAAAATTCACCGGAAGGAAAACTCACTGTGTATCCTATCACGTTGGTAGATATTGCTAGCATTTTGGAGATAAAAGGAGATCTACCAAAGGAATTCGGCAGTGTGGTAACACACCAGTCCCACCAGTCACGCCACCGCCCTGGTTAGTTCGGCAGAGAGCACATTCTGATAAGCGTGCCTTTGAAAATAAATACAATGATGTGTTGACAAAAGGATCAAGCCCAAATGGGTGACATAAAATGAAGTGAGTGCTGTCGCCGTAGGGCTAGGGAGACGCGGTCAGACATGGAAAGTCACTGATGGACGTGGTGACCCGGCGCCGATGACCTAAGGTTCGTGGATCACATGATCTTAGTGAAATGGAAACAGTCCAAGCGAGGACATCTCGATCACAGCAAAAGGGAGGTGAGGTGAAGAACATGTGCGTTCAGCCCTGATCAGCAACCCGTGCGAAAACGAACGTGACGAAAGACCCCATTGCGCCAGAGATGATTACGATTAGGCGCGAACAACTCAGGGGAGAATGAAGAGACCTGTCGACACTGCGTCAACTTACAAAGCTGTCTGTATGACCTTAAGGGTCAGAGGGAGCGGTGAATCGCCCAGGCTTAGCACCACAGTGGGAATGCCGAAACCAAGCAGAAGCTGATGGGAACAAGGGAACACGAATCAATGCCGCGTGGAAGGAACACGTATTATGTAATAGACGTTTGGATGGAACGTTCCTACACGATTCCGTTGAGTGCGCCATGCGAGTATGACGAATACCGACTCCTCGACGAGATGCATGAAAGAGCACCGGCCCGTGGCCGGGAGGATATGGTGTCTGTCTTACAACCCGGAGGTCGCGGGTTCGAGTCGCATAAGAGACCGAGCGACCCTAGCAGTATCCTACGTCCACTCGCGACTAGTGGTGGTTGAATGGCAGCATACCGCTTATCAATTCTTGTATTAAAGAGCAGAGTGGACCACCGTTCGCGGTCGGGGCGTACAGTAGATCAGTGAAACAAAGAAAAATGGCATCTTGCGGTGTTGCTCAACACACAAAGGACTAATGGTGAGGCCGAGGTTCTTTGTACTTGCCACGAAGATTGAGAAATCATGTTAAGTACTTGAATTATAGTCGATTCCCGCTTTAGTTTATCTTTTGCTCGGTCATGACAATCTGACAGTTCGCACCTTGGAGTGAGTTCCGAAAGGAAATCCAACCGTGTTTCCTCGAATTTTTCTCCCCCAGCAAACCTTCCTCATTCGCTAGACCCCGCCAAGCTGAGATTCCACCTGTAAATGATTTCTAAAAGAAAACTCCAGCTGTCAGTTTAGCTTCTACAATCAAACCCGACCAATGCATAATTTGCTGCAGTTTAAAGAAATGGCGTCAATAGATAAAGGAATTCTCCTTGACGCTCCTCAGGTCAATGATCCTTGCTCACCACGAGGTAATTCCTAACCTTTCCACTTTTAGGTACGGGTTGTGAAAGTCCAGCTCCTCTAGTGTGTTACACATCTCATCATGATCCGCGCATATTTGCTCAAAATGCTAGGCTATCCTAGTGAAAGATTTATCGTCCACAGAGAGCCGTAGATGGATGTCAGTTCGGATTTTCCCTTTTCCTCTCTCATTCTACTCCCGTTACTTATCTTATTTGGTCAATGTTACGCATATATAATTTGCTAAGACATATTGGTTTGTGTCTGCCAGTGCAAATCTGCGCTGCCCATTCCGTTTGAATTTCCCCCCATTTCATGATCTCGCAATCATTATGGTCGGAATGGTTTTACTAATTGTACCTAGCGATCTGATGGAGGATGAAAACGAACGCCTTGAAACGTATATGATTTAAGGTGGATCGATACCTTTTCGGCGGAACCAGCTTCCCATTATAAGATCGATTGACCAGATGTCAGATTACCGGAGATTGCCTACTAAGTAGTGTGTGAGTGGAATTCAAATTTGACGAAAAACTGACTTGAGTACAACGCCTCGCATCTGTATCGATAGAATATGATAAGGATTCGCGCTCAATGGATTGCGTTTGGCAGTGGACTGGTGAACAGGCATTCTTCTTATCAGAGTCTCTCTCGTCTGATTTTCCGGTTTGATTGGGAGCATTTGCGAAGAGCCTGATTGAAATTGCTGGACTCGTATGCGGTAGGCATTTTGTTACCAAAACGCTACATCTGTTTAGACGCTGGACATTTTCTCAAACATGAGTATGCCGTTGAGTTAAATATGGATAAAGGTTACTTGGTACCACGAGAAACATATGATTTACAAGCGGTTATAAATAATGTCCCCAATAAAAAGTGAGTGTAGAAAGGAATTTAATAAAGAGAATGCAAATGCATCGGGTTACGGAATCTTCTATGAAGGGAGACTAGTTCAAACTTCGTACCTAGCTTCACATCACCCGCCCAAAAGAAAAAAATTAAGAATGCAAGAAGTTGAATAATGCTGGATCCCTTGCGGGCGGATACACTTTGATCATTCTGGGTGCAAAGCAACAGGAGTGAAACACAGTGGTCGTGACTCACAGCCCATGTATCGCGATGGACAGAGGAGGGGGGGATCAGCGCGGATAAGCACATGGTATCTCGTACTCCCAGTGCATGCATATCCGTAATGAACGAGAGTCGTCTTCTTCATGTCGTTGCGCCAAACGAGAAGACGAGATCAGCCACTAGTTAGGTGTTGAAGCTAGGCAAAGATTGCGTTTCGTTGCTTTGCTTGATGTAAGCGATAGATACTTCGAGGAGGAAAATGGTCTCAAAGCTCCAACTATGATGCCGACGGGATGAAATACACTGGAAACTCTTATGCTAATGGAACAATCCATGCACCTCAACACCAATTTTTAGACCAAAGATGTTAGGAGCAAACACTAAGCTTGCTCACAGTGGTTTCATTTCAAAATACCCGTTGTTTGAATGGATCGCAACACGAACTCTCAAGTTGGACCGCGACTAAGGCTGGGGCGAATCTCCATCACTTGGAACGCTTGTGAGGCAGATAAATAGGAGGAGTTGCCCGCTAGGAGCAATACACCCCACGACAGATTCCGTAGTCGCTCGCACTAGTAAAGTGGAGATAACGGAATTGCAAGAAGGGTCTTAAAAACGAACACACGGAGAGGCATTAGATTGTATGACAATAAACACCTGCAGCTGTGGCGTGGGAATAAGAACCTCAGTCGCAGTCCTGATATACTCATCTGACGGGCGTAAATCAATACGCAACCGGCTGCTGAGCCTAGTGTTGTGAGCAGGCAACATCCAATGCTTGCCAAGTTGGTGCTCTAGATAGCGCCGAAGTTATTCGTCCCACTTCACCGCGTGATTTGACGACGCTGGCGTTTGTGAGAGGACAAATTGAGCCTACCTAACGTGGTGAAGCGTATCGATTAACGTGTCACATGGTAATCAGTAATCGAGTACCTGTATAATGAAAGAATTGATAGCGCAAAACAACCCAAGAATGCGCAACTCTAGTTAAGTATCGTCAAGTTAGAAGAAGAGACAGTGACGAACACACATCAATGAAAACAAGAGGGAGCGGGAACACGAAGTAATGCGGTAAAATAATTGCCGACTCCGAACCTACATGTGGAGATGAAAACTCACCGAAACGATATCCGAGATCCGGTTGTTCCCATCCACTCGGACGACTTCAGTCAGACGCGGAATTTCGGCCAAGACAGTGGGTGCCTTGAACTTGTCCGTTGGGCCAGCGAGTAGAGGCGATGGAGCAGATCCACGTCGGCCCCAGCCAATACGCGAAGCGTCCCCGGTATCCCCTGCGTCGCTCGGTTTGTGTCCGTCACTAGTCCACGACCCCATACCATCAGACGAGCGATCGTCGAAAAGGGAGTAACTGCGGGGGCGAGGTTCGTAGAACCGCTCCTCTTCCTCGGCGTCCACATCGAAGCCACCCATGAGATCCGCACGACGAACAAGAGGGGAGCGATCTTTCGGTCGTATAGAGTCGAACACGTCGGTATCTTCATCATTTTGACTCGGATGATGTTCTCGTTCCAAAGGCTCCGGAGGAGGAAGTGTGGAAACTCTTAACGTGTAAGAGGATAGAAAAAATTTAGACATTTGCCTAAAACGGAATGATCATAATCTCCGTTGTCAATTAAAAGACAGCCTGCGCGTGAATCGTATTGTGCAAGAGGATACAAAACTGAGATCGCTACGAGCTGATCACCAATAATCCTGGCGGAAGCGCTCCAATGATTAGATGGCTTCAGATAATGGGGTTGGAACGCGCAAGAGTGTAGAATGCAATCGTGAAGTAAAACTACTAACAAGCCACATCACTAGGTCATTGACATAATCCCAAATAAGGCTTGAATCATTCAATCTCATGGGGTGACATACACTAGAATACTGCACCACCATACATAGCCAAGTACTCGAGACAGATACCATTGCTTCGGCAAACGTCCAACGCTTAGTTAACAAAATGATCACGGGGCGCTCATCAACCCATATCTATGGAAAGAGCATTTTCTTACCTCCAACTTGACCCACTCTGGCTTCGACGACTGAAAAGCAAACTCAGTCTTCTTTGTAGTGTATTTGCGAGTCTTTGAAACCAGTACCAGTGTTACATAATGGCCCAACCTACAGCATTCGTCATGGGAAGCGTCTACTATACTTAGAAAAGACCAAGCAAAATATTCGTTTAAATTTCCTGCTGGGTGAGGTACGCCAATATGTGAAATAAGCGTTTATTACAGTTAAGGACCAGCGAGAGTTTGCCTACATTGAGATCTCGTTAAAAAATTTTCTTTCCATGCCAATTGTGGCCTTCAGCAAGCTACTAGTGCACTAATGGAATCCAGCCTGGGAAACACAAGTGCCCAATGATATTTGTCTGACCCGTACCAAACACAAGTTCAAAAATAAAAAGCTGTGCAAATGAGTGTTCAGCAAAAGAGAATATATCCTGACCGAGGGGAAATAAACCTGGGGCCATTAGCAGCGCCGTTTTTACCCATACTGTCGACACTGGGCACCAAGTTGCTCTAAAGCGTGCCTTCAGAATAATTTACAGGGTCCTCCAACATCAGTCATGAAGTTTGCACCTCTATGCGCCCGCGACAGCTGAGTCGATTTGTATCCGGTTGTTTAAACCTTCTTTATGCTCGCAGAAGAAGTTGATCCATGCCTTACAGCTTCCCTGGCCAGCTAGAATGAACGATGCTGAGGTTGACTGCCACAGATCAAGCTCGGTACCAAGCAATCGACCTGTCAGGTCAAAGGTCAATTTTCAGCACCACCCACTGAACCGTTAGTGAACTGCGTAATTTGAGCCATTGGGTCGATTTCAGTTCCTTAGTTTACTCTTAAATATGAATGTAATGGTCGGAAGAGAATCATCGAAAATAATTGTTCACCTATGGTCTCGTGTTCGTTCTCTGACCCTAAATAGGAATTTTCAAGTTGCTTAAACCTATTTCTCCGGTCGCTCATCGTATATATGTATGACAGACGTGGTAGGGTGCTTCACGCCGCTGGGTACCAAGCAGTGCCTCACTGGGGTGAGAGAAGCCATAAAACTCAATGATTTGATGCGAACGAGCATTCCATTACGGAGGAGGAGGAAATTATCCCAATTGATGGAAGGTGAGAAGCTCACACTATCAGGACATCCAGATGGAAATTATTTCCAAATGTATGTACATTCCAATAACAAGAAATCCCTTCCAGTGTTCCGTACGCACTCTCAACGCTATCTACGGATAGTTAACCGAGCTGTACAAAGAACACCCAGAGCTTTCGTGTTCGCGACTGTTCACCATATTCCCGGAAGGCAGTCCCATTGAAAAAAGCAAGAAAAGCGGAAGATCTCGGTGTTTCCCAAGCCCAGCACTGCACTACACGACGCGTTTCCTCCTTGTTCGGACTTATCAGATAGAGATAGGCTGAGCTGATTTATCAGGATCAATAGTGTACTGGTGTCGTTGTATCTTCCTAGTGTACTTCTCAAATGGTTCCAGCTGGCATTCGGGGCGGCAGACTCAGGTGGGTACCATGAGCCCCCGACTGGCTAGGCATTGCGAGAAACAGAAAAATGAAAGGCATCAGCAGTACGCCGGCAGGTAGTACCGACGCTTTGTTGCCGCGCAACCACCACCCTTGCGATTCTTAAAGCTACGGACCGGCGGGAAACGAGCATACTGTCGCGAGGTCGACTCGCCGTGTAATTTGCGTCATTCATTGCGATCAATCACCAGACAACTGTGAAAAATCTGATCCACATTCCAGAGGTTTTCCTGTAGAAGGTCATGGTGTATTCCACACAAACTAATTAATCGTCGCAGAGGGCGGAAACGCAGTGCGGAAACATCATCCCATGGGTTCAGGAATTCGAAAACGAAGTCACCAAGGAAACCAACAAGGATTGTAGCAGGAAAGCAAGAACAAATGCAGGGCAGAAGAAAACGGGTGAAGACTGCCTATTCAGTTGACAGCGTGGCGTCCCATGTCAGGATGCGAAATTTAGCCAAACAAGTACCAGGTGTCAAGTGAACAAACTTACACCAAGCTACCATTGGATCCGCAAGTGAGGCATTCTGAGTTGTTGGATAGGAAGCGGAGAAACTTCACTTCCACATCAGGTGGGTATGTCTGCAGGGTTGGAGATTAGAGCGAGTGATTAAAGAAAATAATAGATAGGTTTTGGGTGGTAAAAATGTAGTAACAGTGGTCTCACGCCAACAGACCAAGTGAGTGAGCTAACGTTGAGTACTGTTGAAAAATAAAGCCTACAGTTTAAACAAAAGGCTCCCTGGTGCCCGGTTTCCTGATATCCAAAAACATGCTTCAGTAGAGGAGTGTGTGTTTCCTAGAGTGACAGAAACAGATCTGCAGAAGATGGTGGGCTAAAGCGAAATTGATTCCTGTGAATCGATACGAAGACCGATGGAAACGCATGGGGACAAAAAATTCGGTGTATAAATCAGCAAGCACGCGGAAAGAGATTGTGTGGGCTTAGAGTAAAACAAGTATCCACTAGAGATCGAAGTACGGTTGGAGCAAATGTGCACATTTGCGTCAGTAGGATAGTGAACGTGGGGAAGTTGAACCGAGGTGGAAAAGACGGACAAAACTGGATCGCGAAAGGTTAGAATCATCGGACTGTTTCAAATAGGCAGCTGATGGAGAAACGACACTGGCACTACGACAATGCCCAACTGCATAAGTTTACCAACCATAAAATAGACACAGAGCCATGCAAAACCATGGAAATTAACGGAAGCCGGTACCTACAAGTAAAGGAAGAGGGAAACGAAACACATGGTTATTTCAAATGCCGTTTTGTCATTTTTCTAATGTTTGAGTATTAAAAAGCTGAATCCAAACACGTATTTAACAAATATTCCATTGATTTCCGTTAGTCAACATCTCTACGGCACCTAAACAACAACAACAACAACAACAACAACAACAACAACAACAACAACAAGTAGTAAATCAGCCATTTGAACTGGTGCTTCGCTGTCATACAACCATGAGGACCTATGAAATAAAGAATAAGAAGAGGGAGAGAAGGGGGATTTACCTGAAAACCATAATTCCCTAAGCAAACATTCAGGGTCAAGGCGCCTCACCTTGTGTAAACAACATTCCGTCACAAACAGCTGGCTATCGTGCAAAGATAAGGCGGCATCGGCGAGACAGCTTCCTTGCGGCTTTCACTGCCACGCGTCATAATCAGCCATTACGACCCAGATAACTCAGCACCAAACACACTTTAAACAGGCAATCCGATTAGGAGACGGCAGCAGACGCGCCACTGGTGTCTACTGCGAGCCATGTCCTGTAAAGTCTCGAGCCAAGCACAAGGCGAGTCACGTGGACTCTAGCACGGAAGGCGAGACGGACCAACGGCACCCAGTTTGGTTGTCAGTGACCTCAGTTCCCGTTGCCAAGTCAACTTCTGTCCACCTCGAGCCTTGCGCCACCCTACACTTGGCAGACTAAACAAGGTCCTTCTAGGTAAGCGGTGACCAGGCATGCGTAGCACGTGCCCGAGCCAACGCAACTTATTCAGTGCTATCTGTTGTTCTAGGGAGCTAGCATGATTATCATTACCTAGTACTCGCCTACGCACATCATCGTTGCGGATACACCGGTGCCATCTGACACCAGCAATACTTCGCAGACAACGATGATCAAAGACTTGAAGGCGCCTCAGATCTTCAGACCGAAGGGGCCAAGTTTCACTACCATAGAGCAGAACGGCCCTCACTGTGGCCTTGTATACACGGTCTTTCAGACGGAGGGAAACTCCCTTCTGTCGCCAAAGATGCTGTAGGTTCAAGAAAACAGCTCTAGCCTTTGCAATGCATGAGCTGACGTCAGTTTCTATGCGCCCATCGTTGCTGATGCAGCTGCCAAGATAAGTGAATTGATCAACCACCTCGAATTCCTCGTTAGCAAGGGTCAAGGGGTCATCAAGTGGCTGGTGGTCTTGCAGCAACACTTTGTAATTTGAAGGTGCGAAGTGCATACCAAATAATGGGACCACTCTGGACAGGCTATTCAAGGTTGATTGTGCCGCCGCAACATCGTCGAAAAACAAGACGATATCGTCCGCATAAGCTACATCAACTGACCTTTCACCAGGCAGCACTTCAACGCCTACATCGTGAGATTCCCCAAGGGAACACTCCATGATAGAATACACGACGAAAGTGAACAAAAATGGGGAAATCGCACAATTTTGACGAACGCCACTTGTGGTCAGAAAGCTATCCGATAGGACACAGTAGACCCAGACGTGGCCTATAGTGTTCGAGTATAGAGCACGTAGGATGTTCACATATTTCGTGGGAGCACCACTCTGTGCAAGTATTTCGAACAGAATGCATCGATTGACTGAATCGAACGCATTCTTGAAACCAAGGAACGCAGCCATTGTCGGTCTGCGGTATGCGTGGCGCTGCTCTAGCACCTGCCGCAAAGTAAATATATGGTCTATACAGCCACGCCCTGGGCGGAAACCTGCCTGCGCTTCCCTAATCCGAGATTCCCGTTCCACAGTGAGGCGACGAACGATAATCGAGGCCAGTAATTTTGTCACAACTGTCGTTAGGCTAATACCCTGTAGTTGGTACTATCTGTGCGACTGCTCTTCTTATATATTGCCACTATAATCGATTCGCTCCAGTTAGCCGGGACACTCTTCCTTCCAGATACGTTCGAATAGGGTGGTCAGTGCTTTGCAGAGGGCTTCAACTTCATCCTTAAACAGGGCAGGTGGGACGGAATTCGGGCCAGCCGCACGAAAACGATTGAGGGCTGTGATCGCGTTTCGGACCTCGGCCTCCGACGGAGGCTCTAAACCAACTGTCCATGGCTCGTCCTGCATCACCTGAGTAGGAAGAGGTCCGGGAGCAGGGGGCCAGCTGAACTGATCATGAAAGTGTTCCGCCCAAGGAGCATTACGGCGCTCCTTGTTGTGTATCAGTGTACCTGCGCTGTCTCTGATTGTCTCACTGACGCCTGGTGTCCTGGGACCAGTGGTTCGGATCAGCTGGAAGAGCCTGCGATAATCACCTACTGCACCTGCTTCCTCCATTTCTTGAGCCCGAGTGGCCCACCAAGCTTCCTTGTCAGCACGTAGGCGCCGCTTAAGTCCGTGCCTAATAGCCCGTCTGGTCATATTGTGTTCAGAGCCAGCCGGGAGGTGTCTTCTAGATTCCAACAGGTTCACGGACCTCTCGGATATCCAGTGACTGGTGCGGTGACGATTGATAGTGCCACAAGCAGATGCTCCTGTGTCGTGCATGGCGGCCGAGATCCTATTCCACTGAAGCTCAGTGTCATTAGAACAAAACAGCGAAAGTTCGGTATGCAGTGCGTCTTGATAGGCTTGCCTGACCGAGGACTGAGACAATTTCTCAGTTGCCAATCGGAGGGGACGCTTGGTGCGCTTCCCGGTAAAGTTCATGGAGAAACGATAGCGTACCAAGGCATGATCAGAGTCGACGCAGGTATTCCAGTACAAGCGGTTATCCAGGATGGAACCACGCCACCTGTAACCTATGGCTATGTGGTCAATTTGGGTCCATCGCTGGCCAGCTACAGGAGGAGGCCTAGTGGCAGTTCGGCGCCCACTGTGTCTAAAAGCAGTGCTACTAAGAAACAACTGGCGCTCCGCACACAGTTGCAGCAGACGCTCGCTATTGTCAGTCCGTTCGGCACCTATTGTATGCGGAATTTCAACACTGATCTCTTTCAACGGAGCACTGAATTTCAGGTACTCAATCAAAGGTTTGTGTGAACCACGGGGTATGCTAAGCTTCAGCAGATCAAATATGCCCATTTGGTTGTTCATAATCAAAACCAGAAATCGAATTGTGGGTGAAGAATTCTTTTCGGGTAAAGTCTCATCAGACCCTTACGTTTACACGTTGGAGTGGGTGTGCCGTAAAGAGCTAAATATTGATCCCGCGCAGTTTGAACGATCGATTCAATAACCTTAGATCATCCACAATTCGAGTTCTGGTGCTGATTATGAATAATGAAATGAAAATATTTGGTTTGCTGAAGCTTAGCATACCCCGTGATTCATACAAACTTCTTGTCTGAGTTTACAAGCAGACAGACGTGAGGATCCAACGGCCACCAGGCGTGGAGTCAGCGATTTTGTGTGTTGTCGCCATGTGGAAGGCTATCCACCTCGCGATCGCTTCTAATCCAATTATGCACGAGTGGACAAGGCAAGATGGGGCAAAAACCCAGATGACATAGCGAGGACGTGGCAGTACCATCTATACTGGTGAAGGGAAAACTCGCATACATACAGACACGTCTGATTTCCTCGTTTAGACACGATGTTGCTAGCTCAAAAGAGCAATCCGCCTCAGGACCCATTATCGAAGAACAAAAGTCGGTGCATGTTATCCACACCAACTGCTCATACAGGAACACAGCTCGCGGAAGTATCGTAAACCTATCTCTTTACGAAGAGAGGCACACCCCGACGACGTTACATGTGTTTCAGATTGACAAACGCCGATTAAACTTTGGCGATGATCAAGTAAACCCTCAGGATGAAGAGTATTGCAAAAAGCCGGTTTTCGTGCAGGGAAAAGATGCCATCAGCCCCACGATCAACCACCTTAACGCATAGATAATTTGGCATCAAACATAGCATGAAAAAGTAAGGTAGTGAATGATCCAGCTTGTTCGAGAGACAACTGGAAAAAGCAGGCTTGTAAAACAGGCAGTCTGGCTAGAGACAACAGTAAACATCACAGTGGCACAGAGTTTATGGCGAAATTCTTGCCCCCCTCCCGAGTTCGCAGCTTCCACTTTAGGAACATAGTAACGTGAGTCGAGATAGGTGAACTCCAGTGTTGATCGGATCATAGCTGATCAGTTGAAGTGGGCCTGGAGTAAGTGGGGGCATCAAGGGTGTAATTTTGTTGCGAGTTACGCGAGTAGCATCAAGGATACGGGTGATCAAAATCGAAGGATAAGTCACAGATCGAGATGCGAATCGAAAGCGTTGCCGAACCACAACATTGTCTGCGGCATCACAAGAACGACTGAGGGCCGTGGGAACCATTTACAGCCATCATGCGGCAGACATTGTAATGGTGGGATGTTATTCACGTAACAGTCAGAGCTGTACGTAAAGTGCTGATGCCGAACGCCTGTCAACTGGTTCAGTCCAGTTAAATAACTATGATCCGTGGATCCAGTTGTCACGACTCGCATCGCAAGAATGATAATAAATAACAACGTTAAGATAGTAGGGTTGAAGGCAAAGAAAATGTAAAGAAAATGGAACCAAGAACGAAGTGCGTCAAAGTAATCAGAATGGAACGAGAATGAACAACCAGGTGCAAGAAATCGAATACAGGAACGCCAATGACTGTGTGACTGCGCCATGTCTGACACAGTGGTGTGGACGATCCCACTTCGCCATGGGTGACAGCCTTAGACCTGCGTGATTGACAGTCGACTATGATAGAGCCCGGCTCATCTTCCACTGCCATGGCAGTTACGAACTGTGCAGAGGACAATGGCTATCCTCACGCGCTAGGACTTTCCGCATAGCGCCAATGCACCGCAGAGGACTTAGAAGCTATACGGACAGATTTTATAGTACTGATGATTTTAATTTTCTTGTGGATTTTCCATCCTGTGGGTTTTGTAAAGTTATGCTTTTTATCTCATCATACATTATCGAACTACATCCACGAAGACGCCACGCACCAGTCCGACCAAGTCTCTGTCAATTTCTTCATGCCACTGTGCCACGTCATGAACTGACCAGCCCGCAGTTTCGCCCAAATTGGTGTAGCCACGGTATATAATGCACGCCGAGGAAGCCGGTCAATGGGCATACGGAGAACATTGCCCAGGCAACGTAACCGATTAAAATTGAGTAAACACTCAAGTGAGGAACCAGAAGGCTTCTTTCCAAAAAATCAACTGGCGGGCCTCAGCGTTGCTCATTCGGTGTTCCCACCAGACGTGAGCAATACTCCCTAAGTACCGGTGGTTAAACACGGTCAACCGTTTAATGTCTTGACCGCGAACTGACCAAATCTCTGATCCATAGAGTAAGCGGCCTTACCGCAGCGTTATACACACAGGCTGATATCCCGAGGTCTCCACAGACGGTTGAGTCACTGCAAAACCACACAGGCCTTGCTGATACGCGAAGTAACTTCTTCGGTGATGTGATCACGGGGGTGACACAGGTATCAAGGTAGGTGAACCAATTTACCACTCACAGTAGCTGTTCGGTGATAGCCAGAAACAGAGGTGTGTCAGTCCAGCCCTGCAACAGTAATTCGCACTTTGTAGGTGCAAAGCACATGCCGAAGCGTATTGCGCTACGCGTCAACCTATCCAATAGTGTTTGCATAGCCACTGCGCTGGATCCGAGAAGAGTTGTCGTCGGCATACGCCTAGTTTGTCAGTCGGTCACCTGGCATAACTTCCACTCCGGTAGAGTCTGAAAGGTCCGATTGGTTCATGATCATTTCGATCACAAAGTTGAGGAGGAGAGGAGTTACAGAACCCTGACAAACGCTACTTGTCGTCTGGATCTCAAGAGACAGTTTCCCGTAGACCCTTACATGGCTTAATGAGAAACTGCATAGTGAAAAGAAATTTAGCCGGTACGCCTTTCATTGATAGGAAGTGTCAAAAGCTGGCGCGGTCAACAGAGTCGAAGACGGTTTTAAATCAAGGAAAACCACAATGGTCAGTCGTCTGTATGTCACTGCTCTAAAAATTGACGAACAGTAAATACGTGGTCGATACAACCAGGAGCAGAGCGGAAGCCAGTCAGTGATTCGGCCCTCAACGGGACCAGGAAGTCGTCGAAGAACGATACCCGTAAGAAGTTTGAGTGCAACGGAACTAAGACTAATGCCTCGACGAGTTTCGCACAAAGTACGCTGACCCTTCTTGCAGATGGGCACGACATTTGGAAGTCGCCAGTCTGAAGTCATCTAGTTGATCTTGCAAATCGTGTTGAATAAAGAAGGAAGTCCAGTCAACAAAGAGTCACCACCATCCTTCAGCAAAGAAGGAATAAGGTCGTCGAGCCTGTCGACCAAGTGTGAAAGCTTAGGTAACAAAGGCCACGATGTCATGACTCAGTACGGGAATCCGAGAACGCCTCTTCTAGTCCATTCCATAAAGATTTGGAACAAACTACCAAGAGATATCAGAACATGTTGTATACTGCACAATTTTAAGTTTGGGATTAGTGGACAGTGAAGCGTTCAAAACGCGGCCAATACCTTTGTGACATCACAGATCCTGGATATCGTTTTCGACAACGGTACCGACTGAGCCTGACTAAATTACGAAAAACACATGTATCCGGGCAAAATAAACATCTGCATATCACACTTTGGCCCACAGTTCTTAATTGCGTTTTCCTTCCCGGGCCAAACATGTCATGTGTTTGTGAAGAACACAGATTCATCGAGAGGCCGAAGAACCAGTAAAACAATTTGGATTACCTTGTGTTACCTAAACGAAATCTGTGTTCAAATTAAAAAAATACTATTTGTGCAATAGCATGAAAAGCGTGTAACAATTTTTTGATCCGTCCATTCTGGGGAACAGCTCCATGTATCATCGAGGAATATACAAGTTACTTATTAACCAACAAAGTCGCTATAGAGTGGATGTTTTTAGCAGCACGAGGATAAGGAAAAAGTGGTTCTCTCTGGACACAATGTTACATTGAGAGCACTTTCACGATAGATCATGTGTTGCCTCTGAGTATACGAAGTGTCCGCTGTTGCACAATCATCTTTCTACCTCAACACAGTGCATAAGAGGAGTGTCTAAAGAGATGCGTTCAACTTGAAATTGAAAACGGGGCGCGTGCAGAAGGACATTCAACAGGGGAAGGTTCACACAAACGCATGTACCTGCTGAACGGCTACCTCGTAGCCGGATGCAGCATCCAACAGGAGAACACGTCCGTCGCGAGTGGATGCAAGGATACGCTCGCGTGCTGCACCAATCGAGGCGTGAGATCGCACCATGGGTCCCGTTTCATCCGTGGGAGGTGATTCTGTCGCAAGGCATGTGATCGCATGTGGTCCAGTTGGGATAGCCCAAACCAGCTGACTTGCTGCGACGTGACTGTTGCTGTGGGAAAAGGAGCAAAGAATAATGGGGATATGATAGAGGCATGGGCGAAGAAAGCGCGACAAAAGCGCCCTATGGTGCCCGCAGGCAGCTGCACAACGCGGGATCATTAAGCTTCGTATGTTGTGGAGAGGTAGTCCAAAGTGTTATCGCGTTGGCACGTGTGGTGTAACCGGAGCTTTCCGTCTGGATCGCCGCGTGTCCCATCCACTAGTTTGTAATGATCACTGGCGGTGTGTCGTTCGAATCCACTGTCCGAAGTTCGTTCACTAGTTGACTGCACAAAGCGTCAGATATCGGTAGATGGTGCCGCCTGTGAAGTGCTGTTCGGGATATGCCCCGAGGAGTGAACCACCGGACTTGGGCGGTAGCTACGACGGCTTAATTTCGAACAAGCAGGTAGCTGTTGTGTGTGATGCGGAGACCCATGAATTGGGAGGAATTAATCAACTTGTGTTAATAGCAAACGCAACCACTGTCTATTGAATTCTTACTAACACGAAGTTGCTACAACCCCCTCCCACCGCGTTGGAAGTGAGTAGGCCGTTCCCACGACAGACGCATGCGAGCGATCCAGAGGGAAGCTTAAAACACCGCAGGATAAAACTCCAACCGAATGCCATTGCTTTGTTTGTATGTGAAATAACAATTCCTGAAAGTTTCACCTGTGCAAAAATAAATCAGTCAAACCCTCATCGTGCACTATGACTCTGAACTCAGGCAAACATTTTGGGTAACGTTCTATTACAACACTGCAGACAAGAACGGGTTCGTTGTTTATTAAGTACTTCAGGACCAGATAACTGGAGCCTAGGTTCGACTCAAGAACGGACAGAATATACAGCCGATCTTAGTGAGCAATACACGTCACAAAAGTTGGAAATTCTGCGCAGATATATGATGGGGCACCCATCCTCGGCTATACATATATATATATATGTATATATATATATATATATATATGTATATAGTCATATTCTGTGCCATACGGAACGCAGTACTCTCTCCCCGCTGCACACGCTACTACGGTCTCGTTCATATGCTTAGTCGCGACATATTCTTGGTCAAGCGCGGTGTTATGCCTGTGATGCTACCGATGGCCGAGAATGGTGCAGAATTACTACGACGCTCAAATTCAATGTTTCGTGCGCCGTGACGGATGGATGGACGGAACCAGTTTATGCCAAATTGCGTGAACCCAAAACGACGGCAATGGTGAGTCAGACGGAACGAAGGCATTGTTCGACATTGTCAGTAAATCGTTGTTCATTGCACGCTTACTATTCCACGCGCAACTGCTCGTAGCATGAAAACCGAAGCCATACACGTTCGCAGTATTAAGGTCCATGAGGACTAATGTTCGCCCATTGGGATCGTAGTATATCATGCATAACTGTGGGTCTACATGATTAAAGTGCATAGCTGCTGACATTCCGAGGTTGACGGCAGCCTCAAAAACCAGACTCATGAATGAAGGTTACGATGGGCTCGAGGAATTTTCCTAACTAGATTCCAGCATCCATACGGTAATCGGAGCTCAAAAGTATGGGAACACGTTCGTATCGTATGGTACGAAAAGAGGGTGGTGATTTGCAATCTCACTCACCGACGCTTCACAGTTTATGTGGACCTAGTGTTCGACCAGAGTGCCACTCGTACTGAGAGTAACCTCGAATTGTCTTCTAACGTCTATGCGAGTGATGCTCATTATGGATGTCGGAAACACATAGGCCGTCCTGTTAGACCTTCAGTGTACGCACAGTTGAAAGGCCAGAATGGCTGAACATTGAAACGTGTGTGTGTGCGACGGATACAAAGGAATATAGATGAATCCCTTAGATTTGTCGGCTATCCTAGGACATTCTCATCTTAAAAGCCAACAGGTGTTGGGACCACGTTAGTTACAGACTACCAAGCGCTTGCTGCTTACAAAAATCCACATTGGTTCCTGAATTCGAGTAAAGCATTGATTGTATGAATCAGCAATTATCTCTGGAGCCCAAGTACTCTATAAAAGTTCCTCGCTTTGAAGTGCAGTTTGGAATCTCGGGATTCAAGGCCCAACAAGTTTCGTTGCAACTGTCCAAACATTGGCTCATACGTGTAAAGTAACAATCCCGGTAAGTAACTGACTAGCGATGTTCATGTTAATACCACATGTTCTGTTCTACATATTAGCCAAGAGAGTGAGTGGAGCTATATTTCCCGCTGTTCATCCGTCGTACTGAACTTAGGTGTGCTTAGGAAAAGGCAGCTATTATGCAGGTAAGAGGCGGAAGGGCAAAGGTGCCTGCCAGAAGTTACATTAGAAGTGGCCAATCATCTGGATTGACTTAGAAGTAGGTAATTTCATTTCATTGAAAAAGAAATCGATGAACAGAAGCAAATGATTTGTAGCGCAGAATAGCTGCAACCGAGATGTATGAGGACAGATGATTAGTGAATTGTAAGCGGCAAAATTACCGTGAGAACTACAGGCTGGATGGGAAGATCATACGTTCAGCTAACCAGCTTATCTGCGCCATCTGCCGAGGCTCTTAAATACCCATTATTTGCCTATGCGATTAACTATGCAATGCTCAAACTTTTCATTGCAAATCGCACCATGGTTATGGAGATTTGCTCGGGATAAACTTATCTGATATTCATTATTTTCCTAACCATGTCTAAGCGGTTTCATTCCAACCCCTGCTGTTAGATACATTCATGCTCATACTGTGTAACATACCCAGGTGTCCCACCACATACCCACATGAGATATTCGCCAGTTACAGGGGGCCATCCCAAGTGTTATTCTCCCCATTCCCCATTGGCCCGGAGACACTATACCCACCATCATATGCGGTGTAAAGCGAACCAATCGTGCAGGGTTGTTGGACCGATTAAAAGAGCTGATTTGCCTTCTTTCATTGCACTGCAAAGACCCGGTTGCACTAGGACGGAGGTATGTGCATATTGTACTGGAGTTCTATTTTGTTTAAGTGTACAGTAGTTAACGTCTCCATCCCCTTTCTTGGTTGGACCCGAGAGTTTTTACGTGTGACTCAAATCCCCAAGCGATTCTGTCGTTTATATAAATAGCTTATCGCCACCGTAGAACATACAGCCACATCTGCCAACGGTTGAGTAACTGGATGTTATGCAAGCCATTTGTTGTAAATTGGCTAAGACACTTTGAGCACTTTTTCGAAAGCCGAATGTAGAACAAGACGCAACGGGATTTATTAGATGTATTATTTCTATGAGCGCGTCAAAGCGGTTATCAGATAATGTGTGATAGTACCGTCTTCTAACGTATACATCAGACGGCATCTCCAGTACACACTAACGATAGGACATCACTGTTTTACTGTACCTCATATTTGTGCATCATTCCACCTGGTAACCATATGGATGGCATTTGCTTCACTATTCCTATATCCGTCTCAATCTATCGTTGATGCAAACATTGCTGGTGAAATTAATGGCTGCCTTTTAGGTTGACGTTTAAATGTTAACAAACCACGACAGTCACACTGGTTGCGAATAATTGTACGTGCGACCTTCCAACACAAGAGAAATATGGCTGTTATTCTTACATACAATCTACATTCACGCAAGTTCGTAGTGCTATTGCTCACGAGGGTTGTTGTTTCTCCATCCAGTTTGTGGTAATCCATACACAATTGTGAACAAATGCCCGTTCACAACACTGCAACTCGAATCAGGGACCTTTCGTATGTCAACTTATACCTCATGTTGAATGACTAAGTGGAACCTAGTTAGAAACATTTGTAAGCTCTTCATTTCAGAAAACTTGGTAGACGACCGGTTAATGTATTTATGGTGATGGACAACGTTTCGCTTTTGACACAAAAGCTTCATCAGGCGAAGTGAATTATCTTAACAGTGGCATTTTATAGCGATCATGGCTAAACTACATACAGAGACGAATCAATTTGCAGTTCATCAATGAATGATTACAGCGGTCAAAGGTCAATATGTTCGTGGGTACACTGTAGTTTGTTTCAGTCAGGGTCAAGTGGGGAAAAGAAATTGCCGGTCCGCGGATAGTTACATGAGTGGTTAGCAATCTTAACTGAACCGTTGCAAGGAACTTGGACATTGATAGAACTTGGCTTTAGTACTTCGTAATTTGGTGGAGGGTGGGTCGATAGTTCATTCCGATTTGGGATCCATCCACGGATGCTTATCAAGCTGGCCGGAGTAAGACTGGACGCCAGGCACTAGACAGCCCTACTCCGTCTATTCTATTCACGCAGTTGTTAGCCTTGGTTATTTCTATAGCTTCAGCAATCAGCCTTTGTTTGGCTGATCGTAATCCCTTCCTGATAACCTCCACATTTTCGAAGTCAATTTTGTGCCCCGTGTCTAGCGCATGCATCGCTATTGCCGAATCTCTGAGTAGAGCTCCATATTCTAGCTCATTTCGCGGAGGTCGTGATATGTGTCGCCTATGTTCTGAAATCCTTGTACGTAATTCCCTCGCTGTTTGGCCTATATACACTTGTGTACAATCTTTACATGGAATTTTGTAAATACAGTTAGTTGTTCTATCTAAAGGAAGTGAATCCTTCAGATGCACAAGTGTGGATCGTAGCGTTCGACCCTTCTGGAAAACTACCCTTATCTTCTCCTTATTCAGTACTCTCCGAATCGCTTCCGAAGTTCCTTCTTTATACGGAATACCCACTGTCGCTATCCACTCTGTGGTTGGTGTTGCGCGTGGGTTCAGACATTTCTGTAGCTGTCGTTTCACCAATCGTTTCGGATATCCGCTAGCTATTAAGTTTTTCATCGCCTCCCTCTGCGCTGCCTTCTTATCTTCTTCCTCCGTGCACAGAGCACTTGCTCTGTGAAATAGTGATGAGGCGATTCCCGCGTACACGTGCTTCGGGTGGCTTGAACTATAGCTAAGTACCCCATCTGTGTCCATTGGTTTGCGATACATCGTGGTTTTAACGTTCCTTCCTTCCTATGTACCAGACAATCAAGGAACG